GCTGGACCCCAGCAGGGCGAGGCTGCGGTGGCCGGGAGCGGCCACTGCACTCCAGTCTGGGCGACAGAGTGAGACTCCAACTCAAAAAAAAAGAAATATCTTGCTCAGACACAAGATTACTAGAATTGGTTGGCTTCATCTTAGCAGTTGTGACGTTGGTGGTCACCCTGGTGCTGGTGATGATCTCCAACACAAGCATCAGCAGGACCATTCTGAAGATCCCCTCTGCTCAGCAAAGGAAAAAGGCTTTTTCCACATGTTCTTCCCACATGATTGTCATCTCCTTCTCTTACGGAAGCTGCATCTTCATGTACATAAAACCCTCGGCAAAAGGAGTTGCCTTCAATAAGGGAGTAACTGTGCTCAATACCTCAGTTGCTCCTTTACTGAACCCGTTCATTTACACTCTAAGGAATAAGCAAGTAAAACAAGCCTTTAAGGTTGTGGCTAGAAAGATTGTCTTTCGTGAACATAAAGACCTCAAACTCAATGAAAATTCTGGACAATATGCATTAAATTCTTCCCCATGAGAACTCAGAGTTTTCAAACCTTCTCTTTGTTAAAGCAACGCCTCACATGAATTTATCATAAAGAGGTGTCAAAGTTACAGTTTAAACTTGCCAATGAGAAAAAATCTTCCTCCCAAAAAATTCAAATATTTCTTTCTAGTAGATAGGTTTTTGAGGCAAGCCCTTAAAAATTTTGCAAAAATGCAAAACAATGCCATTTGTCTTTTTTCAAATGTAGTTATTTTAAATAAAAAATATGTTATTTATGCTTAAAAGGGATGTATTTATTACAGCTATTTTAAACAAATTAATATAAAGATCTTTAAGTTCTCATTTTTATCTTTAATATGCTAAAAAATAGATATAACAATAACCTCCTAGTAGATAGGTAGATTTTTCTAGGGAAGAAAAATGTGACTCGATAACATTGTTAGCCTGAACACAAGAAAGGAATATCTGGCCAAAATTACTAGGGTTGTCACAGGATGAAGGTCTTGAGCTTCACAAATGAGGCTCTGAATTTTATCAATGTCTTTAAGAAAGTTGTCCAAACATTTTGTGAGAAATACTAGACAACAAACTGTCTCTTCCTTAGATACTTAATACAAAGTGTATTTCCAGTTGAATAACTGATATTTCTACTCTATAACTCCTTCCAATCATTAAACAGGAATGAAAACTCTACTGGAGGCATCCCTAACAGAGTAAGTGTCTAGTATCCTCTTAAGGAAAGATTCAAGAAATTAGGAATCTTGGACCATATTGGCCAGTGGTCAAAACTTGTAAGACTATGATTGTGCCTGAGCTTCCTGGGCCATAATTTTTTGATAAACCTGAAGAGGATGAGAGTGAAAGACCTGCCTAAACATTCCTTAGGAAATAACTTCCAAATTTTTAAGAATTGTTTTTTTAAAAGGTAGTAAAAAGGAGGAGAATAAATAAATCTATATAATGGTAAGGTGTCTACATTCAATGTAAAGTGGTAAAATGTTGATTCTAAGTGTGAAAAGTTAAGTGCACGTGTTTTGGTTTTTGGTTCTCAAACTCCTGTCCTGAAATAATCCTTCTGCTCTGCCTTCTATAATACTGGGATTGTAGATGTGAGCCACTGTGCCTGGCTCTTGTTTAATGTTTGAAATCATTTATATAGGAAGTACAGCACATGTTCTTAAGACCCCATCTCTACAGAAAATTTTAAAAAGTAGCTGGGCCTGGTGACTTGTGCCTGTAAGTCTCAGTCACTCAGGAGACTGAGGAAGAAAGATTGACTGAGCTCAAGAGTTCAAGGCTGCAGTGAGTAGTAATCATGCCACTGCACTCCAACCTGGGTGACAGACAGAGACCCTGTCTGCATTTAAAAAAAAAAAAAGTAAACAAGGATATGGTCAAAATTATAATAAACAAATTTAAGTGAAACACCAAAAAAATTCAAATAACCCAAAAACAAGCATGAAAGGGAAAACAAAGGAACTAATACAGAGGGAACCAATAGTAAACCAATAATAAAATAGAAGGTGTGAAATCCAAACATATCAGTAACTACATTAAGTGTAAATGATTCAAATGTGCTACTTACAATACAGAGATTTTCAGAATGAATTTTTAATTATCTAATTATATACTATATACAAGACTCTATTTTACAATAACTGAATTGTTTGCAAGTAAACTATTTAAAAAGATACACAGGCATACTTCGTTTTATTGCACGTCACTTTATTGTGCTTTGCAGATACAGCCTTTTTTTACAAGTTGAAGGTCTGTGGCAATCCTGCATTGAGCAATTCTAGCAGTGCCATTTTTCTTAACAGCATGTGTTCACTTCAGTAGCATTTTTCTTTGAAATGTCTTTTTAAGGTATGTGCTTTTTTAGACATAATGTTCTCTCACACTTGATAGACTAGAGTGTAAACATAGCTTTTTATATGCACTGGAAAACCAAAAGATTCATGTGACTTGTTTTATTGTGGTATTTACTTGATTGCCATGGTCTAAAGCTGAACCCAAAATATTTCCAAGGTATACCTATCCCATGCAAACACTAAAACATAGGTAAGGTAGCCATGTTAAATTAGGTAAAGTAGACTTCGGAGCAAAGAAAATCTCAAAAGATAAAGATGAATGCTTCGTATTTATAGAAGAGTCAATTCACCAAGAAGACATCCTACATGTATGTGCACTAAACAACACAGTTACAAAATATGTAAACAAAAACTGATATAACTGAAGGGAGAAATAGAAATTTCCCAATTATAGTTGAAAATTTTAGTACTCCTTTCTCAATGATAAGTATAACTAGCAGACAGAAAATAAACAAAAAATATAGAATAACCGAATAACACTGGCATTTATAGAACATTCCACCTAAAAACAGGAGAAAGCAGTCTTTTAACATGTGCGTGGAACATTTGCTCCTATTAACATCATGGATCTCTCTTTCAAAGACTCTGTGGTCCTTGGAGATCAGTCCACCATTGACATTTTTAAGTAACCGATTCAGGAATTGCATATAGGAAAGAAGAGCTTAGAGGTGCAGAATTCTAAAAAAAAAAATGAGGAGATATCATAGGCCAAAGCAGGTCTATAGAGGAAAGGATAGAGGGTCACAGAGAATCCTGCCTTCCATCTGAAACAAATCACAAAACAATGGACCAGCACTGGGAGGATAGCGGTTGTTCTGGAATAAACCCTGTGCCACCCCCGTGGTGATATAGCAATGCCAATGATGACAGGAAGCAGACACCATTTCTCTGTTGCTCAGATCCCTCAATAGACATTCCTTATGTGATGGTTAATTTTATGTGTCAACTTGACTGGGTCATGGGGTGCCCCACCATTTGATTAATCATTGTTTCTGGGTGTGTCGGTGGCGTGTTTCTGGATGATATTAGGATTTGAATCAGTAGATTAGGTAAAAGATTGCCTTACCCAATGTGGGTGGGCATCGTTCGTTGAGGACCTGAATAGAACAAAAAGGTTGAGGAAAGGAGAATGTTCTCTCTCTGCCTGACCTCTTGAGCTAGGACATCAGTCTTCTGTCTTCACACTGGGACTTGTACCACTGATACTCCTTGTTCTCAAGACTTCATACTCAAATTGAAACCACACCGCTGGCTTTCCTGGGTCTCCACTTTGCAGGTGGCAGACTGTGGAACATTTTAGCCTTCATAATCACTTGAGTCAATTCCTTTTAATATATCTCCATATATATGCATTTATATATGTTTGTATCTCATTACATATGCACATACATATACATACATACTACATACATAGGTTCTGTTGGTTCTGTTTATCTGAAGAATCCTGAAAAATACACTATAGCATGTTGTAGGATCAGACAAGCCTGCCTTCAAATGCCAACAACTCAGAGTACCTACTATGCAACTTTGAACATATCACATAACTTGTATATATGCTTCATTTCTCCACCTGTAAAACGGGCAAAATAGTAATAATGATAATTACTTGTCTAGCATTTACTATTTTCAATCACTTTTCCAAGCACTCTGTATATACCAACACATTTAGTGCACAAGGCACACTGACAATGCACATACTGTTTTAATCCCCATTTTTACAGATCAGTCAACTGAGGAGCAGAGAGGCTAGGTGACGCACCTAGTAAGGAGGTAAGCTGACAGTCCAATAATAACTATCTCAAATGTCACAAGTATAAAATAATAAAAGGAATGGAAATTGCCAAAACTCTGCCCAGCTCAGGTAAAGTGCTCAAGAAACTGATGTTTCCTTTTTAACTATTGTTGCCATGATTATTGCTTCGTTTCTCACAAGCCTTTTATCCTGCTGCCAATGCTCTGTGGCAATTTCCTCATGGGTCTGTCTGGAATATCTTCCCTAGTCACCTGTTAAAAGTGAATTCCCAATATCAATTTTTTTAAAAAGAGACCAATTAACATTTTCTGGACCTGAGTCCCAGCACAATAATTTGTCCCCCAACATCTCTACCGGGTAAATTAGATAAAATATGTAACACTCAAACTGGTATAAAATTGCTAAGAAGTCTGTACTAACCTTCAGACAAAATGGAGAAAATGAAACTTTAAAAAGTAGAGGGTTCCACTGTTCTCTGAATAGTTTAAATAAAGCAGCATCTTCAGGAATTATAAGTTCAGGTCCAATTTGGATCAAATGGAAGAAACGGCAATAGCCGGGCATGGTAGCTTACATCTGTAATACCAACAAATCAGAAGGCTGAGGTTGGAGAATTACTTGAGGTCAGGAGTTCGAGACCAGGCTGAACAACATAGTAAAACCCTGTTCTTCCAAAAAAAAAATTTTTTTTTTTAGTTGGAGTCCCACTCTGTCGCCCAGACTGGAGTGCAGTGGCACGCTCCCAGCCACCGCAGCCTCGACCTGCTGGGCTCTGGCAATCCTTCCACCTCAGCCTTCCGAGTAGCTGGAATTACAGACACGCGTTAACATGCCCGGCTGATTTTTTTATTTATTGTAGAGATGAGGTCTCGCCAAGTTGCCCAGGCAGGTCTCAAACTAGCGGGCTCAGGCAAACCACTCACCTCAGCCTTCCAAGGCACGGGATTACAGGCTGAACCACTGAGCCTGGCTACAAAAAAAAAAAATGTAATAATTTATTTATTTATTACAAAGATGTGGGGTACAATTCAGGGTTAGGTATACAAACATTGATCATGCAGTTACCCTTGTTGATGAGGTATGCCCCTCTCTCCCCTAACAGTTTCCCTCAACTGCCTGTCCCACCCCCTTCCCCTGACAGCTTTCCACTACTGCGATTCACTCTCTTATAGCATTATAATTGTTCAAGGTCACCTTATACAGGAAATAAACAAAATTTTTTTTTTTTTAATTTTTAAAAAAAATTTTTTTTAATTTTTTTAGCCGACCATGGTGATACAGGCCTCTAGTACTTCTTATTCAGGAGTCTAAGATGAGACGATCCCTTGAGCTATGCTTGCATAACGCTTTAATCCCCAATCCCACCACCCTGGGCAATAAAGTGAGACCCTGTCTCAAAAATAGTT